CGGCTTTCTGTGAGGCCCCGGGGCTCCCCGAGGGCCCCGGAGCCCACATTTGCGGTAGCGGCGCCGGCCTCAGGCGCCCTGACCCGGTGCGCCGCTATATGTGTGTATAATATATATATATATATATATATATATCTATATAATATATATATATATATATAGATAGATAGATAGATAGATAGATAGATAGATAGATAGATAGATAGATAGATAGATAGATAGATAGATAGATAGATAGAGATCTATATACATGCAAATATATATGTAAATATATATGTATATATACATACATACATACATACATACATACATACATACATACATACATACATACATACATACATATGTATATAGCGATGCCCTTCCTCTGCTGAAAAAGCTCCTCTTAAACCCAAGGCCGATGCACTTTTCCGGGCTCACCACTGCCTCTGCAAACATCTGACAGCTCGAGGACGGCCACGGTTGGGGCCGGCCTCGACTAGCCAAGGGTGGGCAGGCACGGGAGAGCTTGAAGCCAGAGCCCCCGCGCGTCGAGGAATCACTGCAATCAGCGATGCCCTTCCTCTGCTGAAAAAGCTCCTCTTAAACCCAAGGCCGATGCACTTTTCCGGGCTCACCACTGCCTCTGCAAACATCTGACAGCTCGAGGACGGCCACGGTTGGGGCCGGCCTCGACTAGCCACAACCGCTCATGGTGGAAGACGGGGCGGGGGAGGGAGGAGCGAAGCGGGCACCGAAGAGCTCTGTTGGCAGCGGCGGCGGCACACGAGGACGGCGACCGGAAGGGCGGGGGTCGACGTCGCTCGGCCTCGGCAAACGACTCGAAGACAGAAGCTGCCAGGTGGCCTCGAAAAGGAGGTCGCCGGCAGCCTCGGCGAAAAGCCGGACTTTGGGACTCGGGACGTCCGCGAGGAGCGTACTAGCCCCGACATCCTGGATGAAAATCTCTAGCATCCCACTGGAGAGCCACCTGCCCCTGTAGCGAAGCCAGTCTGGCGAATCTGTGAGCCTATACCAAAACGCGGCCCCTCCCGGGCGGAGGGACGCGGGGGTGATGCCAACTTTGTCTGAATGTTTAATTCCGAAAAAATCCATGAGGGCATCCAGACATGATCTGAAAACACGGGCACCTCCATGCATGAGAGGGATGCGAGGGGAGGACCGAAGTGAGAGGGCCTCAAAGAAATGCAAAACTTGCGGGACATCAATCCTGATGTGCTCGCGGCGCGCGCCTAGGCGTCTCATTTTGGGCGCGCCAACGTGCACATACATTGATTGCAGACGCTCTAACGTCCGCGAGGGGAGCACAAGGTCCCCGAATCTCAGCCTCAGGAACTCGAAGGGCCTCATCATGCCGAAGAAGCCGAGGAGCAGGCAGCCGGCGACGTCGCACCAGCCCCACGCCAGTGCCAAGCTCACAGAAGCGAGCAGCAGCGCCTCCGGCATCGCCTGGTGGTTCGAGCCAGGCGCCAGGTGCTTCCACGTGAAGGAGATGTCCCACGCAGCGTCGAGCCGGTGTCGGAGGGCACGATTTGCGTCCACCACAGCATTCATCGTCTCGTCGTAGTCGTGGCGGCCCCGCATCGTGTCGTACAAAAACTGGCCGTGCTTAGCCAGGTAGCGAGCCACCGTAGCTGGGTCCATCAGGATGAACAGGTCCCAGCTGGGCCCGCCGCAGCCCGCCAGCCAGTGCTGGAGCTGCGAGACGAGGGCAGCACGGCAGCAGGGCCCCACAGCAGCAGCAGCAGCACCAAGAGCCCGAAAAGGCGGCCCAGCGGCCGCGCCGGCCAGGCTGCAGCGGCGCAGGAGGCCGGCGCCGGGGATCCTGGCCGTACCCGGGAGGAGCCGGGCCGTCACCCGACCAGGGGGTGAAACCCTGCTCACCTCCATGGGGGGCCTCCTCGGCAAGCCGCCTCCGCCGCGCGGGCCCTCGCCCGGGAAGCCCAGCGCGGGGTCGCGCACCCGCGGTCGAGGGGCGAGCCGCAGGAGCCCGCGCCACCAGAGGCACGCCACCAGCCAAGCCCACCGCGACTGCTGCCAGCGCGGCAGCGGGAGCGCAGCCCAAGCGCGGAAGGCTGAGGCGTCCCCGGCCTCGAGGCCGGCCAGCCAGCACGGAGCGGGAGGCGGAGCCTCGGCCCCGCGGGCCAGAGCGCTCGCCGGGTCGCGGCGCGCGCGCGACGGGGCGTCGGCCGGCTGCAGGCGCGTCGGCGCGAAGTGGCATCCGACGTACGAGCCCGTGGCCAGCTGCAACGGGGCCGTCCTTCTCAAGCGCTTGTTGATCGCAGTCGATGAGGAGCGGCCCTTGCTGATAGCCCCGATCGAGACGCGGGAGTCCAGGAGGAGGTTGTGCTTGCAATCAGGGAACCGTAGGCCCTGCTCGCCCACCGCGTCGCAGGCCGCGTCGATCTCCAGCAAGTTGATGTGGAGGGGCTTGCGGAAAAGGCGGTGGCAATGGAGCTGCCAGGGAGCGAAGCCGACGTAGTCGTTCAGCCAGAGGGCCTCGAACGCTCCAGCGGGCGCCGAACTCTCCGCCGGTGGCGGCGGAGTCGGCCCGTCCAGGTCGTCGGCCATCAGCTTGGACAGCTCGTCGCAGAAGCCGCGCGGGTAGAGCGCAGCGCGGCTTTGGGAGTCAGGCCGCCCTCCAAGACGGCGCGCTTGTGCCCTCCGCGACAGCGCCTCGCCATAGGCGCCAGCCAGGAGCCCCGCACGACCAGGAGGCTAGTGTCCTTCTTCCAGGGCGCGCCGAACTGGCACATCGAGAGGTCGAAGCGGTCCACGACCTCGTGCGTCAGCAGGAACTCGACGATGTGCGTGCACCAGGAGTAGGCCGTCAGGGGATGCTCGTGCAGGCCGGCACCGTGGCCCGAGATCAGGTGGGCGAACAGCGCCAGCATGCCCACCCTGAAGAGGACGTTCCCCAGACGCGTCGGGGTCGAAGATGGGTCGAATCCCCAGGGCCGCATCCTGGACCTGAGCCTCGGGTGCCTCGCGATCGAGAAGCTGGTGCATGGAACCTGCGATATGGTCATCTTGACGCGCCTCTGCCAGATAAGCCATCCTACCCACTCCGCCAGGCGCGAGTCGACCAGGTCCCAGTACTTGCGGCACTTGATGTCTATCCTCGGGCCCGCGCGCAGGCCCCGGCCCGAGAGGTAGCCCATGAGGCGGGCCTCCTCCCCGCAGCAGAGCTCCAGCACGTCGAAGTACTCGATGAGCGAGGCCGTCGGGTCGACGACGCCAGGGGGAGGTGCGGCATCCTCCTCCAGGTCCTGCAGGACGGCGCCGTCCTCGGGTTTGGCCAGGGCAGCCCAGCCTGAGGGGTACAGCCACGCACGAGCGCCTCGCTGCCCGCGCTGGCGCCAGAAAGCTCTGGCGGTGGGCGCCGAGGCCAGCGTCCTGACGGACGCCCCGGCCAAGTGCGAGGCGTCCGAGGCCAGAACGTGCGGCCCCCAGCCCGCGGAGAGGTCGGTGGCCATCAGCGGGAGGAGAACCGCGAACAGGGCGCACTCGTTGCAGGCCGCGCTGCTCAGGTCGAACACCTCGTGCGGGTCGCGGCCGACGTCGACCTCCTTGAAGCAGTGGTGGAGGAGCGACAGGGTCGGCCGCCGGAACAGCGCGGCAAAAAGCCCCATGCCAAGGAACCTCTGCAGCCCCAGCGTAGTGGAGCGTCGGCCCCGGGCCATGGACAGGCCCATCCAGGCCAGCGCCAGCCTGCGGGTGCGGGAGGCGCCGACGAGCCGGTCGCGGCCCAGGAGCTCTGCCCCGATGACCGTCGCCTCCGCCGCGTCCTTCACCTCATTGCCAGCGCTGACCCTGAGGCCAGCCTTAGCATAGCCCTCGCGCGCGCGGGCGAAGGACTCCTCGATAGCTCGCCGAGCTTCCCGCGAGCCCGGAGCGTCGACAGCCAGGCCGAAGTGGTCGCCCAGCACGACGCCCTCCCAGGCAGACCCCTCGGGGGCGAGGTGGCGGTTCAGCACCCGCCGCTCTGGGGGTAAGCTGCGAGCGTGGGCGAGCAGCCGCATGTGGGACTCGCACGCCCAGTCGGGCGCGTTCAGGCCCCCCATGATCAGGCCGCTATGGCCGGGAACCACCTTCTCGGGGAGCTTGCGGCCCTCGCGACGGCAGCGCCCCCGAAGCCGGCCCAGCGCTGCGAAGCCCTCGTAGAGCCTCGTCGGGAGGGGGAGCGCCACGTCGTTGGTGCAAGCCATGTCGTAAGTGCAGTCCAAGGCGGGGTAGAAGTCCTGGAGGTCGTCCGCCCAGACGCGCAGGACGAAGCCAGCAGGCACCTCCAGGTCCACCAGCACGGCGGCGCTCGGGGTCAGTCTGGAGAAGCCGCCCAGCGGCAACTCAGCCGAGTTGCGAGCGATGCGATTGAAGACGACCCTCTGCGCGTTGGCGTCCTTGAACACGGGAAACAGGGTGCCTCGCAGGGCCTGCGGGGAGTCGGCCGCGTCGACCAGCTCCAGTCGCCCCACGTCATCCCACTGCTTCAGGCACTGGAGGAGGTCGCCAGGCTTGCCCGCCTGGCGGGCCGGCCTCGCCGGAGCGGGCTGGGTCGGGGGCCCGACCGCGCGCGCCAGAGGGCCGACGCCCGGCCCATCCCGCGCCAGCAGCCGCGGCTCCAAGAACGTGGCGGCGGAAAACGGGGCCAAGAACGCCAGGGGGTCGAAGTGGCACTCGGCCTTGGCGAAGGGAGCCTTGCTCGGGTCGATGGTCGTCACCTCGCAGTCAGGAGAGGGCGCCACGGCGCCCAAGGGGAGCTGCATCGCATTTAGGAGATAGTCGAGCAGAGCGTCGGCCTTCTCCACGCGGCCACCGTGCCATTGCAGGAGCCGGCACATCGGTCGCACAAGCCTACTCAGCCTGGACACCATCTCGGACTGAGACGAACTGAGAGGCCTCCCCCCGCGGGCGCGCGGCGGGCAGCTCCGCGACTCGCCCAGGTGCAGGTGGGAGAGCGCGAGGACGACGGCGTTGACCCACATGTGCTCGACGCGAGTGCGAAGCCATCGCCTGCGACCGCGCACCCCCCGCGGGGGGGTACCAGCAGCCCACCCGAAGGGCGGGGGGCAGGGCAGCAGACCGGCGGCAGGAGTCGCAACCTCCTGGAACCCAGCGGCGTGCATGGAGGAGCGGACGAAGGCGCCGAAGGCCGTGCGGAGCCCGCGCAAGCGGAGGATCAGGCCAAAACCCCAGCGGATGCCCACGTCCAGCGAATTGCTGCCGCCCACCAGCCTCCTGCGGCCCCCCGCGCGTCCGCGCGGCCAAGAGGCTGGGGCAGCGTCATGCAGAGCTCCCGGGCCAGCCAGCCCAGGGAGCCCCGCCCTCACTCGTGAGGGGGCGCGCCAGCGAACTTGCCTTGGCGCTTCGAGCCCCCCCCCTTTCCTCCGCCCTCCTCGGCCTTCGGTGCCGCGGCCGGCGCCAGCTTTCGCTCCGCGTCCTCGAGGGCCAGCGCGTCCTTGGTGTAGCCGATCGCTGCCGCGACCCACTCGGGCGAGGCCAAGCGGGACATGGGGCGGATCTGCCCGCGCGCCGGCGCCTGGCGGATCGAAATCCAGGGCGGCTCGGGCAGGTGAGTCAGCAGCCAGGCTGACGTCCAGCGCCATTCCCTCAGGGCCGCCTGCTCCGACGCGCAGAGGAGGAGCGCCAGCTGAGCCTCGGCGGCGCGCCACAAGCCGCGCTCCATCAGGTCGAACACCTCCGCCATGCCGAACACCAGGAAGGCCGACGACCTCGCCTGCCCGAACGGGACGTTGCGAGCGAAGTAGTTCCGCGTGGAGTCGCTCATGCCCTCCTCGCTCGCGGCACCCGTCATGTTAAGCTGGCGATTCCGCCGGACCATGGCGGAGACGGTCTGGGGGCTGCTCTGGACCTGGCGTCGGAACAGCTCCAGGGCGGCAGCGCCGCGCGCGCCGCCAAGTCGCATGCCAGTGCTCTCGCCAAGCCCGTCGTCGCGCCCGCCGTCCGCCAGGAGCGACAGTGCGTCTGGTTGGCGACCGCCGCTCTGAGCCAGGGCCCCCATCAATGACGCCTGCTGGGCCAGCAGGGCCATCAACTGCTCCTCGCGGCCGCAGGCTCCTGCGGGAGCCGCAGGGGGCTGGGGCTCCGCGGTCTGGCCCGCTGGCGGAGGGGCAGAGCCGCGTGGAGGCGGGGGCGGAGGGGCCTTGGGGGCCCGCGGTCGCCCGGCCGGAAGGGGGCCGCTGCAGGAACGGGTTCGCCGCGCCTCCCTGGCGGGGCGGAGGTGGCCCGGCGGCGGCCGCAGCGGCGCGCGCGGCGGGCAGGCCCTGAGGGGCTAGCACCCCGCCTCCGAGAGCCGCCGACGGAGGACCGCCGAGGGGAGGAGGGCCGAGGAGCCCGAAGGGCGGGGCCATGCTGGCCGCCGGAGGCGGGTGGCCGTCTGGAGGGGCCGCCGCCTTCCGAGCTGGCCCGGCGCCGGCCTCCAAGGCGGCGACCCTCTCCAAGAGCGCGTTCTGCCCGGCCAGGATCTGCTCCAGGACCTGCTGCTGCTGCTGCTGCGGCGCCTTCCTGGTGGGGGCCTTCCTGGTCGGCGCCTTCGGGGCGGCGGGCGGAGCAGCCGGCTGCGCGTGCAAGGCTGCCCGCTGCCGCTTCAGCTCCACCACCTCCGCGGCCAGGCTCCTCAATTAGCTCCTCGACCGCACCGGCCCGCTGCTGCTCCAACAGCTCGCCCGGCGGCGTCGCGGCGGCTGGAGGGAGCGGAGAGGCCTCCCCGGCGAACCACGCGCCGAACCCAGCCCCGGCGGCCGCTGGCTGCAGCCCGGGCGCCAGAGGGGGGCGGAGCTGCGGTCCGAAGGCGGACGGCGCCGGCCCCATCTCCTGCGGCGCGCCTGTCGCCTCGAGCGCGGGCTCGCCAGCGCCCTGCAGAGAGTCCAGAGTGGCCAGCATCTCGGCGGGGACCGCGTTCACAGCAGCCACTGGGTCGGGCCACCAACCATAGTCGTGGAAGGCGTAGACCTCGCCCTCGGCAGGGGGCGCGGGGGAGAAGCGCCTCACCAAGGCGCTCGGGGCCTCCATGATCTCGGCCGACAGCAGCTGGCCGTCCAAAGGCGACCCGACGCGATCCCAGGCCGGCAGATGCATCGCTTCGTAGGCAGTGTCGGGCCGGCCCGAGGGCACCACCGCCACGGTCGAGAGGGCGTCGGCTCGCACTCGCAGCGCCGCCACCGTGACCTCGTAGTCCGAGTCGACGCCGTCCTTCAGCGTGAGGAACCCGAACTCCCCGGCGATCCCTCCAGCAGCAGGGGCGGGCAGCAACGCCGCGGCCGCCACGTTCTGGGGCGTGGCATGCCCAAACCAGGCGCTGGGGTCCTCGTCCTCCTCCTCGCCAGTGTCGAACGCGTTCTCCTCCTGAGCCATCCTCACCAGTGGTGGAGGGGAGGCGGCACTGGGGCGCCGTGGCGGTCGGCCTCGGCAAGGTAGCCAGCAATCGCCTCGTCCTCCGAGGCGAAGCGGCGCAGGCGGTCGCCGCGGAAGGAGCGGTACCCGCCGATCCGCCCGGCGATGGCGTCCCAAGCCCGCCGAGCGCCGCAGTGGACCCCCACGAGGTCCGGGGCAGCCGGGCTCGCCCAGACCGCGTAGGCCCAGGCCTCGGCGCGCGCCGCCCGGGGCGCACGGAGCGGGGCGGCCGGAGTCGGGCGGGGCGCCGGCTCCACGGGTTCCGTCTGCGTACCCACGTCCCGGGTCGCAGGGCCCGCGCCAGGGGCCGCGCCGGCCGGCGAGCCGCCGGCCCCGCAAGGGGTCAGGTGCACGTTGACGGTCTGCACCGCGGGCCCAGGCGCCGCGCTGCCCAGAGGGGCGCCGGCCCCAGCAAGGGAGGCAGCAGGCGCCCGCCGGCTGCACGCGGACGCCGCAGCCACCAGGAGCGAGGCGAGCATCCGCTGGAGGATGCGCGGGAGAGACGGGCGCGCGAGGGCGCCCGCCGAATGAGAGCTTGAAGCCAGAGCCCCCCGCGCGTCGAGGAATCACTGCAATAATGTATATATACGTATATACATGTATACATATATATATATATGCATACATATACATACATACATACATACATACATACATACATACATACATACATACATACATACATACAGACAGACAGACAGACAGACAGACAGACAGACATGCATGCATGACATGCATGCATGCATACATGCATGCATGCATACATGCATACATACATACATACAGCATACATGCATGCATACATACATACATACATACATACATGCATACATACATATATATATATATATATATATATATATATATATATCGCACGACATAGATGGCATCACATGCATTGCACAGCATTGGTGGCACCAAATGGAGTGCTAGAAGCACGCTGTTTAAGATCTACGCTGGTTGACCTTATAAGTTCCTTGAAGGTGTTTGAAAGATTTGAGAGTCGTCACGTTTTTGGGCTCCCTTCAGCTCAAGACGGCCCTGGAGGCCTCCGAGATGGTCCCAAAACTGCCCAAGAGGGCCTCCAAATAGCTTACTAATCTTCCAAGAAGGCCTCAAGACAGCCCGAGAGTGCCGCAAGAGAGCCCCAAGCTGAGCCAAGAGGGACTCCGCTCGGACCAAGACGGCCTCAGAGATCCCAAAGACGGCCCCACAACGGTCGCAAGAACCCCCGCAGACCGCAAGGATGGCCCCAAGACGTCCCAAGAGAGCCCCAAGACGGTCCACGAGGGCCCCAAGACGGCCCAAAGTGGCCCGAGGGACCCCTAGGACTGCCCCACGGGAGCCCAAGAAAGGACGGAGGAAAGGGAGGAAGACAACGAAGACGAGAAGAGAACCTCCGACACAACGCGAACGAGTATGTCACATGTTACGGCTCTCCCAAACCTCGGGACACGATGTGTCACGCGTTACGGCCTCCTGTGCGCCCACCGAAAAGTCTCCATCCAAGGTGCTGAGCTGGCACGGTGGCGGGACTTGCCACAGGCACTTGGATCCTGACGGGGCGTTGGCGCTGCCCGCGTACATTCGCGGCGTGCCCCCAGCAAACTTCACGATCTCTACGAGGCCGAACGGGCCACTGGCCTGGACCTCCTTAGCGTGCTCCGCGAGGAATTGCAGTTCCGTGGTGGTGAAACGCCCATCGCGATGGACTACGACCTCGCGGCCCTTGCAGGCCTTTTTGGTGAGCACCGCTTTCCACACCGACGGGGGTATGCTCTCCCCGTTAATGCGCCCCTGGCACACCCAATTGTCTTCAAGCTCACCGTCCATCAGCCGCAACTGCAGCCCAGCGATCACGTGCACCATTTGCTTTTGGCGCGGATCCCACAAGTGACAGACATCCACACCGCATAGCACGGGGTTGCGCTGAGCCTTGGGGTCGCTCTGCAGCACGTAGGGCGTGTGCCCAAGCTTCGCGGCCAGCTGTAAGACGATATTCTGCAGCGCCGGCCTGCTCGCCTCCTTCTTGGACACGTCGATCCACTGCGAGGCCAGATGGGCGAGCCTCGGCGCCTTGCTCACCATGCACGCGGACTTGGCCTGGTGGTACAGGCCCGACGAGCCGCGACCGCCGAAGAAGAGCACTGCCTGAGCCCCCTGCTGTGCGGCAGCCTCGATGGCGGAGTCCACGGAGCGCGTCGCGACTGGCGGCCCCCTGGCGACACGAAGGCCCACCTTTGTCAGGAGATCGCACACGCCCGAGAAGGCTGCCTCGGCTTTGGCGAACTCGTTTTTGTTGCCCTTTGCCTCACCGAGCAAGAAGCCACACACCTTGACGTCCTGCCCGAGGCCAGAGCTGAGGCGGTATAAGCCGTGCCGCTCGAGGCTCGCCCAGATATCCTTGCCGCTGTTCGACGTTGCCTTCCTGTTTCCCACCCAGCAGCCTGGGGCCCGGAAGGTGGTGAAGCAGCTGGACAGGGCGCCCTGCGCGTCTGAGCTCAGGCGCAAGGGAGAGGACGGGAACAATTTGCCCGCGACAGCCGGCGCAGTATCCGCAATGTTCTGCAACTCCAAGTCGATCAGG